GAGCCGGCCTGGCCGTGGGGACGGTGGCCTCGATGCTTGCGTGCCCGGTCCCGCTGCTGTCACTGGCGCGGACGCCCGCGGCACCCGGCTCGCGGGAACCTGTTTTCTGGCCCCGCTTTGCCGGCTCCGGTTCTGCGGCGCTCCGAGTCTTCTGAAATCTGACCCTCCCCGGGGTGCTGTGACCCGGAGAGAAGAAACCTTACTCGCTGTGGGCTCCAGGCCCCGGCTGTGCCACACCCGCGGAGGGGCCACTGGAGCCACTCTCGTCCCTGTGCCCTTGGGCCACTCTTGGATACCACGGCCCTGTCTCTGTCCAACAGAACTCGCTGCAAAAAAACTTCTTTCTGCGGGTGCCCTGCCTCCCAGATACATAAGCAAACAAGAAAGGAAATCCCAAGAACCTGGGCTTGGATTCCAGCTTGGGATCATCCTGAACTAGGGAAAAGGAAGGGAAGAAAACAGGTTAAAGCTGCAGCTAGGGGCTGGCCCTGTCACCATTTCCTTAGGGAATGCAGGCAGGCGACAGTTATCCACACCTTCCTTTGCTGTTTGGACAGCATTTCCAAAGGTTTTTCTGTATTTCCCATCCCTTTCTTGACTTGAATTTCTTCCAATGAGCAAATCCAGCCGGCCCAGACAGCTCTTCAGAAAGGCTTCCGCAGAGGACTTTTCTGCCGAGAGATGATAGGGAATTGGGTTTGAGACAGGTGTCCAGGTACTGCGCCGGACTTGAGACCTGTTGGAGTGCTTGCCCAGGCAGCCAGAGGACAAGGAAGGCTTGTTCTGTGAAGAAGGGCAGTTGGTGCCCCGGGCATTTAAAAGTGAAAAGGACACAGGGGCTGAAATTCAGAGGAAAGCTAAAATCGAAGTCTCCCCTTCTTACCACTCTATTCTCCTTTCCTTTCTCATGAGAAGTCTCTGAAAGGGAGAACACATAAACTGGTCATCAGCCCAGGATGTAGCCATGAGGCTCCAAAGCCATCTTTGGGCTTCAAAGATTAAAGAGCAATTTGTTCTTCCTGTACATTGTGCTTAGAAATCTTTTGTCAATGAAAAATAGACTAGGAAGTAAGCGCCCCAGGGTCAGTGGGAGCCTTCCCCAGATCCTGGGTAATTGAATGACCACGGGAGCCAAAATAGCTACCGAAACCCTAACCTCTTCTTGGGAGATTTTTGGTGGCTCTGTCTACTTGAGCAGTGGATAAGAATCACAAAAATAGATGGCCAAGCAGGAAGTTGTACTGCAGTCATTCCCAAATGAGACCTGTCTTGTTCTAAAAATGTTCAAAGAAGAATACAAGCTTGGTCATATGCTCTGTAGGACTGAGTCTTAAAAAACAACAAAACAAAACAACAAAACAAAAAACTAACTCACCTAAATCTCTTTATTGTGCCCCAAACCCATTTTTTCTATTTTGTACACAGAGATGGTTACAGGTGGTGTGACTGGTCAGCCTTCTGTTGCTTGACAAGCCAAAACTGTCCGGTGATTTTAGCTTTTCTAAGGGCTGTGTTTCCCATCCCTTTCTTGACTTGAATTTCTTCCAATGAGCAAATCCTGGCTTCTGCATACGATTCTTGGAGTTGGTTACATTTTTTTTTTTTAAATGATGTCCTGTGACTAGTGCCTGTCACACAAGTGTGTCTTTGCATTTCGGACCACTGGGCTGTTAATTGCCCCCAAGGTTGTGTTAATAACACTGCTTCCCAGGCTTCCATCTCTTGTCCACGCTCTGTTCTTTCCTCCTTCTCCAATTAAACTTCAGCCCCTCACTGGCCTGCAGTTTCACCCCTCAGTTAGGACCATGCTGGGTACCTAGACCCCACTTTCTAGCTCACCAGGTTACTTGTCTTGCTGCTGTGTGTCTACCAGTTCTCATTTCCTGCGTAAGAGTGACAGATCATATGTTCCTTCGCTGAGGCTTTTCTTAAGGGAGACGCTATCTGGTTCAGCGCCTGAAAGAAAGAACAGGTGCTCATGACAGGCCACACACCCTGGTGGGGCTTCTAAATCAGTTGATGAGATCGTAATTTGTGGCATAGAATCTCTAGGTGCGATCGCGCACCCATCTTTGCTGAAAGCATTTCTTCCTGCAATCCCCCCCCCCTCGCAGGGGTCCCCAAAATGACAGCGCCTTGACTGTGTAGCCCCGGTCAGTTCCTTAGTTCCTCCAGAAAGGTGTTGGCTCACCACACCATGAACCAACGACGAGTTGGTTGCAAGTTCGTCTTCTGTCGGGCTCCTCTTACCGTTTCATCCTTGGCCTTGGGAAGTGTCCTCGGGAATGACCTTTGGTGTGTCACCCCCTTCTGTGACTGCTGTTGACGTGTTCCAGGTCACAGTCTGCACTTGCTGCAGAGATGCTTTCTGAACAGACTGCAGCCCTGGGTGCAGGATGGGAGTCAGCGAGCATACAGCTGGGTGGAGCAGAGCCCCAGGTGGACAGAGGAAACCGGGAAGGCCCATGGAGAACAGCACCAGGGCCCCTGGAGCACCTTCACTGTGGTCCTGAAGAGGAGCCACTGTCCCTTCAGGAGAAGGGTAAGAACACACAGGGTGTTTCCGAAGCACTAGAAGTCTTGCAGTCTCTGCTCAAAAAGTGTCGTGAAAAATCCCTAGCCTGGCTGGGTGCGGTTGCTGACACCTGTAATCTTATTAGTTGGAGGCTAAGGTAGGAGGATTGCCACAAGGTCCAGGCCAGCCTGAGCTACATAGCATGACTCTGTCTCAAGCAATCATAGTAACTCTAATGGCCCTGGACTGAAGGACGCACCCCATACCGGGTCCAGCCTGTTTTTCCTGGGCTCTGCTATCCAGTACACAGTGAGGTCCTGCATTTTCCAAACTGTGAATGGGCTTCTTCTGTTTCTCCTACATGCAAGTGCATAATTAATGGTACTGAATGTGGGAGACACAGGGACTGCTAGAGACTTGTTCCTGTTGGAGAACACAGCCAATAATCCGTACTTTACTTGATAAGAATCCAGCACTGTCCATTCAAACTACAGCTATTCTAACCGAATGTCCCCAAATCCTCACAGAACATTTTGAGTGGAGGCCTCTACGTCTATAGGTGTGCACTCGAGTTTTCACCAGTGAGCAAAGATTGAGAAGATGCACGGGTCCCCGTACACACTGGGAAAGCTGGGTAGTTCATCTCTAACCGTTCCTCTCTCCCCTGACCAGCTCAGTCTGCTCCCTGGGTTCCTGCCGGCCCCCAGGAGGGGAACACTGGAGACTGGGAAATGGCAGCCGCCCTCCTTGCGGCCGGATCCCAGGTGAGCCCTGCTCCCCTTGTCCTCTCCAAGGTCGGGCCGGTTGCCTTGCCATAGCTTTGGCACCATGCCATGGGCCTGTTAGTTACCGTGAGCACTAAGGGTATGCTTATAACCGAATAGATTCTGTATCGTGGATTTTTAAGGGATGGCTCTGCCATCTGTGTCATGGGTGGGGAAGTTCAGAATAACTAACTTCTTTTGAGAAGGAAATCTGAAATCACGCATGATAGTGCCTGCCTGCAATTCCCATTACCAGGAAGGCTGAGGCACAAGTGTTGTCTGAGCTCAAAAATTTGGGGCCAGTCTGTGTAGCACGGTGAGACCTGATCTCAAAATAAATAAATAGAAAAAAGAAAAAAAATCCTGGAAAAAGTAAGAAAAGAGGGCCCAAGGAAAGCTTGGAAGAGCATAAAGTAGACAGGGTTGTGTAGATTGTAGAGCTTTTAGGGAAGGGAAGAAAAGGAAAGAGAGCACAAGTCTAGAGACTCACTACAGCAAGAGAGCAGCATCGGCAATAGAGATTGCAGAGCGTTTATCATGCATCCTCTTTTCTATTCACTTTATATATACTATGTAACATGAGAACAACGCAAGCCTTCCGTTTTATTTCGAGAACATTGGGGCGGAGAGAGATGGAGGCCTTTGGATAAGACCACTGGTAAGCGGTAGAGCTAACAGTCGTCTGGCTCCAGATTTGGGGCTTAACCACTGTACCGTAGCACCCGGAGAGCTGTCGTCAGTGTACCAGGGAAGTAAGCGTGTTTTGTTCGTATCGTGTTGTGTTGACAGAGAAGGTCAATTGGAGGAAGGAGGCTGTGGTACAGTCTACGGGAAAGAATGAGGAGGTAAGAGGAGACTGAGTAGACGCCTGTAGTTAAAGAGGGAGTGATCGGTGGTCGCGTCTCTGGCTTCTCACGGTCTCTCGCGGGCACATTATCCTCACTCCGTCCTTGGCCTCCTTTCTTTACTCTTTTTCTCTTTACCAAAGCGGTGGGCCTTGCCTAGGGACCTGTTGGCATCTTTTCCTGGGTCCTCTCTCGCCCTCCTTCCTGGACGACCTCAGCCCTTCAGAGTGGGATCCCATTTTCCATCAGAGCAGCTGCTGACAGGCAAACCCTCTGTCTTGTTTCAGGGCCTGGTAACCATCAAGGATGTATCACTGTGCTTCTCTCAGGAGGAGTGGCGGAGTCTGGATCCCTCTCAGACAGACTTTTATGGAGAATACGTCATGCAGGAAAATTGCGGGATTGTCGTCTCTCTGAGTAAGCAGGACCTTCCTCTTCCTGAAAGGCTGTTCCTTGGGAGGATGGGACCACCTGTTGGATCGCGCCTGCCTGGGGGGCTTTCCTTGGCAGGGGCTCTGTCTAGGCTTCCACCAAAGAAAGAATATTGGAGCTAAGCCCAAAAGAGTTGAAGCAAGGAATCTTTTTAAAAAATAATGCTAAATTATGGAGTGCAAACTTGAAGTTCATCTTGGGTAGGAATTTGAGGCTTCTTAGAGAGCAGAGAAGGGACAGTTGGAGCTAGGTCCCTGGGACTAGGAGGACTAGGAGCATCACCCTGGGGAGGTGAGGGTGTTGCAGGCGGGACTTACGGTGGGTCTGAGGTGTAGTCATGACCAGAGTGGACACGGCCTGGGAGGACTTGAGTGGAAGAGACCTGGTTCATGGAGGAAGAGCATGTGGTTTTCTAGGAGAAGGAAGAGGGACTTAACGGAAGTGACTGGAGGCTGACTCTTCTGTCTTGGCATCCCAAGGAGGAGCCTGGGAAGCAGTTTTGTCCATTAGTACAGAATTGCTGTTGAGCTAAGCTGGCGTGTGTCTGTTTCCTTTTCCCATGGGCAGGGTTTCCGATCCCCAAACTGGACATGCTTTCTCAGCTAGAGGGAGGAGAAGAACAATGGGTCCCTGACCCCCAGGACCTAGAAGGGAGGGATATCCTGAAGGTCACATATACAGGTGAGGACCTAGACGTACTCTCTTGCCCTGTCATCTTTACTGTGTCGCTAAACAAAAAGTCCAGAGCTCTTTTTTTTTTCCCCAAAAGCAAGGCTGGGGTGCAGAAGGTGTGGAAGGCAGACTCTGAAGTCAGGCTGTGTGGGCTTGAATCATAGGCTATTGGTGAAATTATTAAGGCCACTCCACGTGGTTAAAAGGGAGGTTTATTTTGTGGGGTAACTCACAAGTGAAGGGATAGGTAACAGGGTCTGGGAAAGGTGTGGCGCAGTCCGGTGGTGTTCTCTGGAGAACTCTGCTCGGTCTACCTCCAGCGTCCAGGGTCCAGGAACCAAGAGAGCCACCCATCTGGATCTTGGGTCTTAAGGGTCCTCCCTTGGCCCCGCCTTGTAGGTGTGACAGTTACCGAAGCCTCCATGGGGGTTGGAACTTCCAGATCAAAGCTGGAATGGCTACCCACTACAGTAGGCCATACCTGTGAGACCTTGTTTCTAAGTGATTACAGTTAAATATGTTAACACCTGAGAGCTGAAGATTGTCAAAGCATGTAAGAGGCACCTGATGAGAGTTGTTATTGACACCGTTGGTCAGCATCCAGGTTTTCTAAATATGTCTTTTGGGGATGAAGGGGGGGGGATGAGACAGGGTTTGTCTGTGTAGTTTTGGTGCCTGTCCTGGATCTCGTTCTGTAGACCAGGCTGCCCTCAAACTCACAGAGATCCACCTGGCTCTGTGCTGGGATTAAAGGCGTGCGCCACCACAGCCTGGCCTAGGACTCTCCTTTTAAGAATGGTATTCTTCCTTCCCCATAGGAGATGGAAGTGAACATGAGGGTGATACTCCTGAACTAGAGGCAGAACCTCCCAGAATGTTATCCAGTGTATCTGAAGATACTGTTCCCTGGAATCCAGGGCAGGAGCAGAGCTGGGAGTCCATGCCCAGGGCCTCTAGGGGAATGCTCCCAAGGCCACCCTTTCTTCAGGAAGACAGCTTCTCAAGCCTTCTGTGTAGCTCTGGGATGGATTCTCTCTTAAAGCCCCATACATGCCCTCAGTGTGGGAAACAGTTTGTATGGGGCTCCCACCTCGCCAGGCACCAGCAAACACACACTGGAGAGAGGCCCTACAGCTGCCTCAAGTGTGAGAAAAGCTTTGGGCGAAGGCATCACCTGATCAGGCACCAGAAGACCCATCTACATGACAAGCCAAGCAGGTGTTCTGAGTGTGGCAAGAATTTTCGATGTAACTCCCATCTGGCCAGCCACCAAAGAGTGCACGCAGAAGGCAAGTCCTACAAGGTCGGAGAGAGCCCCGCGGCCGGGAAACAGCAGCCTGCCCCCCCAGTGCCCAAGTGCCACGTGTGCACCGAATGTGGGAAGAGCTTCGGCCGAAGGCACCACCTCGTGAGACACTGGCTGACCCACACCGGGGAGAAACCCTTCCATTGCCCTCGCTGTGAGAAGAGCTTTGGCCGGAAGCACCACCTGGACAGGCACCTGCTGACCCACCAGGGACAGAGCCCCGGGAGCAGCTGGGACAGAGGGACATCTGTCTTTTGAAACCTGTGTCTTCTGTAGCTATGGTCAAATCTGTCAGCCGGTGCTACCAGCAGCCACTGCCAGAGCTGCCCCTCTCCAGGACCCCGGTGGCCGGAGTGTGTCTCGCCAGTTCGTATGAAAACAGAGTTCCTTGGGCAAAATTTTGGGGAACAGTGCAAAGTGTGTGTGTGTGTGTGTGTGTGTGTGTGTATGTGACTATTCAGTTTGAACCCACTGTCAAGGGTCCAGTGGAGCCAGCAGTGAGGGGTGAGGCCCGTTCTCGTCGGTTGGAGTCTGTGTCGTATCAGTTCCTAAATATTTACACATCACCCTCATGTGCTGATTGTGCCCCCTTCTACAGAGAGGGGGAGTGAAAGGGACCATGTCAGTGTAGCAAGGGCTCTGAGAACTTCTAGTCAATTGCTCGGTGTCTGTTAATGCAGCGTCTCCTGCATTTATCTGGCCTCAGTATCTACTTCACATCCTCACATGCGACTCTGTGGAACGCGCTTCTGTAAGCGCTGTGTGAAAAAGTAACCAGGAAACAAGAAAGAGACCGGTGACTAGGCGCTCAGAGTCCCCGTTTTTATCTGTGAAAGCAAGGGGGCGACATTGTTGTGTGGGTCTGTCGCCTTTCCCCCATCACTACATGCCTCTCACCCTACCTCTGAAAAATTCACTGACCTTTCACTTCCTGTTCCTAGTCCACTCATTCTGTACACACACACACACACACACACACACACCACATCACACACACCACACACACATCACACACCACACCACACACACAACACACCATACACCACACACACACACCACACATCACACACACACACACATATCACACACACACACACACCACACACACACACCACA